AAATTTCTCTCTGAAACAAGATAAACCCTCGAGAGACGCAAGAAACCTTCAAGAATCTTGAGAATCGTTTACAATGGAGTTTTCTTCTATCAAGGAGGGAAAACTCTACAAAGATGCTAAAGATCACATCACTAAAGGAAACTACATCAAGGCATTGAAGATACTTGAAGATTTGACTCGAATCCATAAGGGAGATCAAAACGCATGGCTTATTCGTCACAAACAAGGTCAAGTATTCTTACAACTATCGCTGGAAACAGAGAACTCTGATATGGAATTCACATACTTGTTAGGTTCTGTTGGATGTTACTCTGAAGATGATAGGTTATCATCATTTTGCGCAAAATCACTCCACATTTTGGCTAAAAAGCTTGGATCTTTGATGTATTACAAGAGGTGTTTGGCGAAAGCAAAACTAGCTTTAACTGTTACTTTCCAGGATATCACGGATTCTGCTATTCGGCAAAAACGATTGAATGAAACAAATAAGGCGATGTTGAAAGTAATCGAAGATGCAGAGTCCAAGATTGCTTCTCCCGAGACTCTAGTTGCTTCTACTATGAGAAAAATCTTTGAACCAAAAGTTTTGGAGTCAGAGAAAAGTTCAGAACCACGTGAGGATGTTGTTAAAAGAATGAGGTCGTTTTGGGCGGGATTGGATGTTAAGGTCAAAAGGGAGTTTATGAAAGTAAGCATTCCAAAGCTTAAAAGTCATGTCGAGAGAGTATGGTACAAAGATGGACGAGATGTTTTGGAGCAAATTCTTGCTTCTGCAAGGAAAGACATGATATGGAGATTCTGGATGTGTTGTTCGAAGAAGTTCTCTAGTTCTGAAGAATGTAAGAATCACCTTGAAGAAGTACATGCTGCAGATCTTAAACTTTTTACGAAAAAAGATAGGGTCCAGAGAATAGGGAAGGACTGGGCTCGTAAGATATCAGTTGGAAGTTGGGAACCAGTGGATGCAGTAGCTGCCGTTGAAATGATCAAGAATCAGCTCGAAGATGTGAAAGTGTTTGCATCTAAATGTAAGAATGGATGGTCCAGAGAATGGCCTTTAGCTGCGGATGAAGAGCGCGGTAAGTTACTCAAGGAAATCAAATTGCTCCTTGTGTCGCTTTGTGACCATAAAACGCTATCATGTAGTGTTCGAGACTGGGTGATGCATTTTCCGGTGAAGCATCTTGAAAAACTTGAAGTCTCTGCACAGAGTCTTGTCGATTCTCGACTAGTGGAAACACCTCAGAGTATCTGTTTTTTGGAATGTCATGAACTCAATCAGATTCTAGACTTTCTAAATAACATAAAGTGTGAAAGGAATGATGGTACAGATCTGGTTTGCAGAGCAGTGGACGGTTTCTTGGATCGTACACGGGTTAAAGAAAAGATTGACTTTGACCCTCAATTTTCATATCTGCTTCTGGATAGAAGACTGCTGAAAAGTAATAACGCTCCATGTGATGATAAAGGGACAATCAACGTTTTTGATCCCATTGTCCACTACGCCAAGGCACATGCTCAGGGAGATGATATCATATCTTGGTTAACTGACAACAATTCAGTAGATAAGACCTTTCCCAAACCTGTCAGGGAATACAATCTTGATATATGGGTAGCTGTTCTCAGAGCTGTTCAGTTCACATGTAGGAATCTGGAAACCAAATATGAAAATAGAGTGTTGCTCTTAGGTTATGGCGCAGCTCTTACTATAATCGAGAGCGTATGTATGAGAGAAGATGAAAGGAGAAGGAATCTGCAGGAAGATCAATGGATCAGATATGCATGTCTTCTGTGCGATAGGTGTGAAGAGATAGTCCCTGAAAATTCCCTCGCTGCAAGAATATACTTGTGTGCAGTACGAGATGTTTTCGAAGGAGCATTGCTTCCAACATTTTATGTCCCTGATTTAGAAGACTGCTTAAATCTTATACGTGAGCAGAAAAGTCTTAGTGACGATAAAGTGTTGGAGTCCATAGGCCTTCTGATATTAGTGGTCACCCACAAGGTTCATTCATGACTGTTATATTCATCATTAACAACATACTCATCCCATCTTAATAAATTATCTACATGACCTGCAGGTTCTTCTAATCGATTCAAAGATTTTGCTGATTGATAATTCAAGGATTAGTTTGCTAAACAACCTCGCCAGGCTTTCTGTATTTGACAACCGCACTTATATTCTTCAACTGATGAAACCTTTCTTGCTGGTTGGTTATATACAGACAGCTTCCATTTTCCTTCTGATTTGGCCTTTTATTGTTTCTTATATATTTTCATGTCTCTTCTCATCTAGAATGAAATTACGAATATGGAACACAAAGCCAAGGCAGATGCAGTAGCAGCAGATCTTGCACTCGAGGAGGAGAAGTCACAGTCAAAGAAGAAGAATGATAAAACAAACAAGGTATTTCAAGTTTTAAACTACTAGTAATATTCTGTGAACAAGTCAATGACGTTTTACTATCTTATAGCGATAACATATCTTCCATTTAGACTTCGTTTCCTTACTTTTAGGATTCCAGTTCTCTGCTTTGTTTATACCTGTAACGTCATTCATTATTCTCCATAAATTGCTTGTATGAATGAGTGGTCTTCATGGTGCAGCAGAGAGTTTCAACGAGCAAGTCTAGTCCCCTTGATCAGACTGTTGAACAGTAAGTACCTTAAGAGTCATTTTCTTATGTTAATAAATTGTTTTCGGGTTTTTTCTGAGTAAAACGAGTTCTTACATGTACAGTAAACCTCCTGTCAACCTTGAACTAAAAACGGTGCAAGAAGATTCTATGGAACCAGAAAATGCTCTTGCAAGTGAGAGTGGTCCATTGGAAATTTCATCCAAAACTCAAAATCAAGAGGAAGCTACTAAAGATGACCCAGGTTGTTTAAAAGCTTCTCAATTGACTAATAATTTGAATCATCTTGTTTTGAAATGCCTAATTCTTATATCTTTCATTCGCCATTTTCAAGATATGCTAAACATGCCTGGAGAAGATTCGCTGTCAGCACATTTGGAGTCAACGCTTGGAGGAGCTGCAGTCAGATACAATTCAGCTCTTGACATGACGCTGAAGGTAAAGCAGTTACCAACCAAAACTTTCATCTTCTGATTTCAACTCATACCATATCTATTCACTTCCTTATTCCTTTTGATAAGTTTACAAAACCATGTGGTACTGCAGGCTCTCTTGAACATTAAAGTTCTCAAAGAAGATCTGAAGAACAATATGCAAAAATTTCAACAAGTTCCTTCTGCACTGCAAAATTTATTTACTGCTCTTGTGTCAGAGGTCATAAAAAATGAGGGAGTCTACAGTTGCCTCTTGAGCGACTTACTTACTTCTCTAGAAGAAGTTATTTCCGAGGTTTGTCATTTGTGTGGAGAGATATGCATCTAAGCATTGTATTATTGTCAGTAAGGTTTTCTATTTTTAACTCTTTGCAGTCGAGTGATGCTGCTAAGGTAGTTGTAGCCATCCTTGAGTTTTGGTGTTGCTGGAAAAATCCAGAAGGAGAAAGCTTGGTAACTCGCCTTTTTACGTTGGCGGAAAATGAAAGAATGAGTTGTAGAAAATGCAGATGGATTACAAATTATCCAGAGCAAAGTTCTTATGCCATTGTTGTGGCTGCAGATTCAATCAGAAAACTTAAGGTATGTTTCATTGATTTCTCTCTTTATCTTTCCTTGAGAAACTGGTACCTCCTCTTATAAAGCTGTCTTGTGCTTAAATATATACAGTGTGCTTTTGAGAGTATAAAGTTTGTGGACATACTTAAGGTGATCCGCATGGAATGTCAAAAGTCATGTGACATTCAAACAAGAGGCTGTGGAGAGTCAAACTTTGTTCATCACTTTATAAGTAGATGCCCGCCTGTCTTCACAATCGGTAAGTTTTGACCACCATGATTGTGATCTTATGTACACATTTCATTAATAATGCTTATAATAAAACTTTGTTTATGGGTTTGCAACATTAGTGTTGGAATGGGAGAAGAGTGAAACTGAGAAAGAAATATCTGAAACAACAAAGGCTTTGGACTGGGAGATAGATATCAGCAGGCTATACGTAGGCTTAGAACCAAACACTAACTACCGACTTGTGTCAATGGTAAAATCTGAAACAGGGTCACAAATGTTTGTCCTATTGTTCTTCTGTATCCATCCGTTACAGTGTGAACCTATGTTATGCAGGTTGGTTGTGGTGAAGAAGAAGAACACATTTGTTTGGCTTATGAAAACAACCGGTGGGTCAATCTCGGTCGAGAGTCTTTAGCAGGAGAGGTAAGACGAAACAGTTTCCCTTTGTCTTCCTCGAGTTGAACTGTGAATTAGGATAGGCCAGACATGATTGACACATGTGTGGTGATGCTATAGGATGTCGGTAGCTTGAAGAGTGTGGTCTGTTTCTTTGGAGAAATGCAGGTCAATCTCAGACGAGAGTCTTTAGCAGGAGAGGTAAAACGAAACAATTTCCCTTTGTCTTCCTTGAGTTGAATTGTGAATTAAGATAAGCCAGACATGACTGACACATGTGTGGTGATGCTATAGGATGTTGGTAACTGGAAGAGTGTGGTCAGTTTCTTTGGAGAAAGGAAGGTTCGACCAGAGATTCTGTTTTATGAAGCTGTTTGATCGATGGCCTAACAAGTGTATCAATATAAAGAAACCCAGCATTGATGTATAAAACAGTGGCATGTTCCAATTCTAAAGAAGTTGTGCTCTTTGTTCTATATTATGTTTTGTCTTGGAAACTAAATTTGTTCATAGACAGAGAGTCCTTATCATATACATAAATGGTTCAGCTACCAAAAGTAACTTTTTAATCTGTACTTTACTATTGTTATGAGTTCTCCAAGATCCAAGTGTACCTCGCAATTCACTATCGTTAAGTTGCCAAAGATGATCATTGAAATCATGGACTGGTAAAAAAAACAAGAAGATATTTCGTGCCTTGTTTGATTATATTGGAATTTAGAATATACATGTTATTACTCATTGGTAAAAAAGGATTAAAGGAAAATAAATTCAAATTTGATAAGAATCAAAGTGTTTTTTATGGTCTCATACATTTGACTAGAACATCGACGAATCGCTTGTACATATGTTGCTTCATGTACATTTTCTCAACCATTTTGCGTCCTTCACTTCCCAATCGTAGCCTCGCGTCTGCATTCCTAAGTAGATACAAGAGATTATGAGCTAATTCTTTGTTACCGGATCGTCCCATTGAGTGAAGTAGACCAGTCACGTTGTGTTGAACCATCTCTTTGGTTCCTCCTGCGTCTGTTCCCACTACTGCAAGTCCATAAGCCATTGCTTCGATTGTCACTCTACCAAATGTTTCACCAACTCCCTGTAACAAATAAAGGTTCAAAATAAACAAACCGAACAAAATCGAAATGGTTCTACCGAAGTTCTGTCAATATATTAAATTCAAACTGAAATCAAAACCTAAATTTTAATCAAAAACAAAACTGAAAAACGTTTTATCCAAAACCAATGTAATTGACTGTAGTAATTCAAGTTCCTATAAAATTGATAAAACTAAAAACCAGAAAAACTAAACCAAAACCAAATTAGATTTGTCTATTCCTAACATATACTACTTGAGTACTTTTTGTGGAAAACTGCATATGCATCGAATAGTCTACTTTTTGAGGTGTGAGGACCGAGGAGGATTACCTGGGAGTTTGTAACGTAGACATCTGCTGCAGAGTATAATGAAGCAACACGAGTTGTTGCGGGAGTCCACATTACTGACTTAGATAAGTTTCCGTTTTTTGATAAGAAGCTTAACATCTCTTTAACATATCCAACTTTGTTGCTCTTTGAACCCACTGATCCTAAAAGAACTTTAAGTTCTTGCTTCTCGCTTCTCACGGCATTGTCAAGTGTGAGAGAAACACTTTTCATCTGTCGTGATGAACCTCTTAAACGATGTTTGCTGGAGAGACTAACCTTTTCTTTCCTAATGATCCCCTTGTGATTTCTTTGAGATTCTTTTCCTCTCTCAGAAAGAGCCAAGGCGATAGATTCAAGGAGAAGAAGTTGCCCCTTTGTTGGGTTTATGCTGCTAAGAGACATCACAAGCATATCTGCATCTGTTAATCCTAACTCCATTCTCACTGATTCGCGTAATATTTGTCTCTTTTCCCTCATTTTCTCTGGTGAAAGTGTTGGTGTGTTGAGTGAAGAAGGAATCCCAGCTACAAAAGCTAACTCATCATTAACAGATAGTGGAACAATCACTGGTTGTGATCTAAGCTTTATATGCTCCTCCTCGCACCATGTTAACCATTGTCTGCTCTGTGATTCAGATAAGAAAATCAGCATTTTCACATGGTCAAGAACTGGTTTCGCTCGATCAAAGTATTCTCGTCGATTCTCCATTATCCACCAAGCGATTTGACTTCCACCAGCTGGATGATGATTCATGTATTGATCTGCGAGAAAAGGAAAAACAGTAATGAAGATATGCTTTCCTTTGATTGTAAATTAGTAGTCCAAAAATTGCATAATGAATTCTTACCTATCCATGAGGTACACACTGCTGATCCTGCGATGACCAAATCTGCTTTCATGGAAGTCTTGAAGCTGAGTTCTCCTTTGTCTTCAACAACTTTGATCCTTCTCCTAGTGAGCTCTTGCATCAATCCACCTCTCCTGCTGAGAACTACTGCAGAGACTGTTGCACCACAGCTCAAAAGCTCTGAAGCCAGCTCCATCATTGAAATTGGAGCGCCTGTCATTGATAGCTCATGGAAAAGCAGGACGAATCTCCTCGACCAAACAAGGCGTTTAAAATCTGATTTCCGGTCACAAGTCCCAGATCGTCTATGTGGGCTCCATTCAAGAACTTTATCCTCTAGTGATCCAAAAGGACCAAGAAGCTTACCATAAGTAGCATTTGTCAATGGAAGTTGTGGATCTTGCTCAGCATCCAAATCCTTAGTCTCAAGTACCTCTTTAATCACCTTCTGCTTACCACGTACCTTACTACGTGAACTCCGGACAGTTTTTCTAGTCTTCTGCTTGGAACTCAAGCTCCGTCGAGAAGCCCCATCATCTTTCTTGATTAGACTAACATCCGTCCTCTTACTCAGACCAGCATCATCTTTACCAGTAATATTTACCAAAGCCTCAGAATTCTCATTAGCAACAGCATCCATTCCTTTGATCTTCTCCACATATAAAACATCCGTTCTCGGTCTGCCTCCAAACCGTAAAAACTCAACTTTACTTTCATTATCATGTGCCCACCTAGACTGAACATAAAATCCAAGATACGTCCAAAGAGTAATCAAAAGCAGCCAATAAACCAACCGGCTACTACGAAACAACTGAAATGCTCCTCCTCCAACATGACCTCTACGAGGAGTCCTACCAGAATGCAATCTAGGTGTACCCCTTGGAGTAGACCTCCCTGACAGTGAAGACTTAACACTTGTCTGTCTCAGCGGCGATAACCGAATCTCCTCCATGATTTCAATGACTATAATCTCACTATAAGCATCATATCAAACACAAAAGCAATCGGAACTAGTAAAATTCAACCGCTTCAATCCACGAACACAAAATTGAGCAGCTCACATTAACACCACAACCTAGGAAAGAGAAATCACTCAATCAGTCTATCTTCAAGTTCAATTCATCAAACTCTAATCTCCAAAACTCTGATACATATCGAAGAACTATAACCTCGTTTAAAGCAGTATATATGGTTAGAAATCAGATCTAAACTACTCTCATGACCTGCATTTAGGTATTTTATCACAACTATTTCAAACTAAATCTGAGGAAAACTCCACAACTTTTTCAGATTACAAAGCCATAAGAATTTACTTTCTCATCAGGTTCCCGTAAAACAAGAATTAGAACTCGAAAATTGCGTTGGAGAATTTGGAGACTGAAGCGAGAGATATATATCTTCCGATTACGAAAAATCAAAATCACATGGATCGGTCAGTGAACACTTACCAGAAGCTGAGTAATTACCGACTTGGATCCGCCGATGCTCCAACGTTTCAGCTTCCGAAGTACGAAACGCAGCTAAATTGACGCGAATTTGCAGCAATCTATGATTAGAAAACAATGAATCAACACGAAAAATGAAGTCAATGATTATTATCACCGGAAACTAGAAATAGAAAGATTGTGAAGACGAATTAGAGAAAGAGAAGATTACTTTTGTATACAGTAGTCTTCGTCTTCTTCAGAGATCAGAGCTGAACAAAAGCTGAAGCAGAGAGAGAGAGAGAGTCTGCTTCTTCAGCTTCAGCTTCTTAATTTGTTTCCTTATAATTAATCATCCACTTGTTTCCTTAGTTATATTTACTTTGCGCTCCTTAATTATTGAAAACTTCTTCTAAAACGGCATAGTTTTAAGCTTCGAAATTAAAAAAAAATGTATTTTCCTCATGGGCTTGGGCCTTCAAGTATACCGTTGATGAAAGTAATCTACTCCTCCGTTCTGTAAGTGATGTTTTAACCTTTTTTTTTTTTTTTGTTCTTTGTCATCTAGATTTATTATTAATTGCAAATGATGAGAACTGTTACATAGACAATTTTACAACTGACAATTCCTTCCGACCCTTATTAGATCCACGACAGACTACACTTCTTTTCTTTGTAATTTTGATGAATACCTTCAATGATCCACGACCTGGCGATACTTCCTTCTCTGCGTAGAATCCTAGCGAACGGCTATAATTGTACATCGCTGGAGATCTCTTGCACACTTGCCTCCATTAATCTGCAAATTTATTAATAAATCGCAATACCTGGGACTCGAACCCCAGACCTCTTGGTGTAGAAGCATTAATCAACCCTTGGTCAACCAATGGGCCAAGGGGGCTTCCACTAACCTTTTGTTTTTGTTCATATATAGATGATGTTTTCAATTTTTAATACAAAATTAATTACTTTTTATTGGTTTTGACAATTTATATTTTGTAGATTGTTTTTTTTGTTGGTTGATTAGATAATAAATGATGTTTTAGTTTAGAAATAAGGGAGACTCACAAAAATGCCCCTTTTTCAATACCCCTTTTCAAAAATGCCCCATTTGGCTGTCCATTTTTAAAAATACCCCTTTTTATGTAAAAAATTACTAAATTACCCTTCTTTTAATAAAAGATATCACAAATATATAAGGAAATATAACAAAATTAGGTCCACAAAATACAAAATATTTTTTGGCGAGAAAAGTGATCCCGCAATTTTTCCCGCCAAAACACTTGTAAAAACTTGTAAAACCTTTAAAATACCTTGTAAAATTTTCCCGTAAAATATTTTCCCGCCAAAAAATTTTCCCGCCAAAATTTTTTTTTGCGGGAAAAGTGATTCCGCAATTTTTTTGGCGTTAAATTTTTGGCGGAAAAAATTTACAAGGTATTTTAAAGGTTTTTTACAGGGTATTTATAAGGTTTTACAATGTATTTTAAAAGGTTTTACAATGTATTGATAAGGTATTTATAAGATATTATAAGATTTTACAAGCTATTTTATAAGGTTTTACAAGTTATAAGGTTTTACAAGTTTTTTATAAGGTTTTACAAGTTATAAATACCTTAATAAACCTTATAAGTACCTTGTAAAACCTTTTAAAATACATTGTAAAACCTTACAAAACACTTGTAAATACTCCGTAAAACCTTTAAAATACCTTGTAAATTTTTCCCGCCAAAAAAATTTCGCCAAAAAAATTGCGGAATCACTTTTCCCGCAAAAAAAAATTTTTGACGGGAAAATTTTACAAGGTATTTTAAAGGTTTTTACAAGTGTTTTGGCGGGAAAATTGCGGGATCACTTTTCCCGCCAAAAATATTTTGTATTTTGTGGACCTAATTTTGTTTCAAATAAGGGTAAAATGGTCATTAAAAATTAAAAGAGGACAAACTTAAAAATGGACTCTCAAAGGGGGCATTTTTGAAAAGAGTTATTGAAAAAGGGGCATTTTTAACAATTTCTCTAGAAATAAACAAAAATTAAATGATTTCTTAATCTATGTGCTAAAACATCACTTATAAAAGAACGGAGAGAGTATATTCCTAGCTCTCGTAACATGTATAAATTTTAATTGTTTTTTGAAAATGAAACTTTAAATAATAGTAATCTTTTAAGATTTTGAAAATAACAAACATATTAAAATGGTGAAATAGCTAAATAACCAAATTAAAATAATTTTAAACTGTAGAAAATAATTTTTGCATATAATCATGATATTTTAAAAAAATGTCTGATGCTGGATAAATTTACATATTTTTATTACGCTATTAGAAAAATGCATATTTTAGTTCAGTTACTTATCTTACAATGCATAAACACAATATTTATTAAATAATAATCTCATGTTTGGTAAATTAACATAAGACCTAATTATATGTTATTTACTACGGAAAGGATAACAAACAGCACAATAGTATAAATATATAATATGCTGTTTTCTAATTCTGGTACATGAATAACGAACATGTTAATGAAAAAAATATATGTAACTTTTTCAACAATCAAATTTGAGCCAAAAACATAAAACCAGGCCTGCATAAAACCAAAAAAAAACTACTGTATGTCATGATTATGAAAGCTATTTTTGTTGAAATTATTTAGCAAGTAAAAAAATGATAATCACTTACCTAAATTTACTTCATAGTTATTTAGTAAGAATATTCAACAAAAAAAAAAAGTCATTTGAAGAATAGAGAAGAATGTTACAATGCATTCCATTTGAAGTCATTCCTTTTTTTTTTTTTTTTTTTTTTTCCTCAATTGTGAAATATTCCAGAAAGCTTTTATTAGTAGAAATCTGAAAAAACATTATTAGTTTTCACAGAGACTCTCTTCCTCTCTATCTCTCAACTTCTCTCTCCTGATATAACCAACACACAGACTCTGAAACAGAACATCATCACAAAATACATAACAAGAACCAACAAGAGCTCTAGATTTGCTCTTAACACAACCAAGAATCTCAATTGCTCTCTAAAGAGAACTAAGAAACTTAACCCAAATGATCTCTGCACTTTGTGTCGCCTCTTTCGCAAATTCCTCAGCCGCTTGCTCGTCTTTCGCCTTCCTCACCGCGCCATGATACTCTTCGTAAGCATCAGAAGCATCTACAAGAAAATGAGAAAGTTCTTTCACAGTCTCCTTAAACTTTCCATCAATAGATTCTTTCTCAGCTTCTAACTTCGCCAACAGTTTCTTGATCGCGAAGATTCTAACGAATAATGCATCTCCCTTTTGAGCAAGCGTTTTAGCGGTTGCGAAATGAGAGTCCACGGCGGTTTGCTTCTCCGTGGCAACTTCTTTGAGCATTGTCGCTCGTGCCTGCGCGATGTGAACTCGCTCAGAAGCTTCAAGTCCTTCTTTGATGACGTTTCTGTATTTAGCTAACCTAGAGATGTAACTGATCGGAGCTGAGCTTAACTCTTCGAAACTTGCAGCCGTAATGAGAATCTGATCGAAATCTTGACGTGTCACAAGCTCACGAGCGGTTAAGCCGCGAAGCTCTTTCAGTTTAGCCCTTAGGGTTTCTACAGTCTCTGATGTAGCAGATGATTCGCTTGTGGAAGAAGCAGAAGAAGAAGAAGAAGAAGTGAGAACTCTGTGTCCCAGTGGAGATTCCTTTTCTTTCCGGTGATTCTCAACGAGTTGAGTCAAAGACGCTGTGAGACTAGAAGTCTCTGTTCCCTGCAAAATCATGAAACCATAGGAATTAAACTTTCGAGATAGTAATTATGTTACTTTCTTGCTGTTCAAGAAAAGGTTTAAAACTAAAACCTGGACTGCAGATTCTTCAGATAGGATCTCTTCTATGCTATATTTAGTCGGTATAACAATCGAAGCATCATCGTCGTGTTTTAAATCAGCATTGTCTTGGTTAAAACAGCTACAAACACCTGGCTTTCCAAGTCCAAGAACCTCTGGTGTAGCATAGTCACTCTGTTTCTTTGCAGCTGTGAGATCAAGAACTGTCTTAGAAAACCGTCTTAGACAGTGAGTGAAACAGAAAGAATTAAAGATTTTTTGTTTTTTCTTACATTCTTCTGTGTCAGCCTTTCCATTAATGCCACTATGTGCTTCTGCAGAACAAGAAGGTTGGAATCAGAAAATGTCAATTTATACTTTCTTTACATAGAATTTAGAAGAGATCATTTATAAAATCTTGAAGTACCTTCAAATTCGCGTTCCATCTCTTCCAACATTATCTTTCTCTTAGCAGCTGTAACAAGAATTATAATCAAAATTTGAATGAGAAGGTTGTAGAGAGAAGAAAATGGATGAGAGAGTTTACATTCTTCTTCGATGTTTCTGGAATCATCAACTTTTATCTGTTTAAGACCTCCAATAGCAGCTGCAAGTAGAAGATGGAAACAGGTTCAAGATTTCCTCTGAAGAATATGAGCTAGTTAGACCGATACTGAATTGTTGAGATACCTTCAAACTCGCGTTCAATCTCTTCAAGCATACTCTTTCTTTGTGCAGCTGTAAGAAGAGATAACTAACTCTGTCTCGGAATATTGTGGCAAAGAAAGTGAATCAAGAAGAGTTTTCTTTTCTTACATTGTTCTTCATTGTCACTGCCTTCAGTGAAATCATTAGCCTTTAGTTGTTCAAGACCTTTTGTAGCAGCTACAAGTATAAGATTACTGAAAATTAGGATGAAACATTAAAACTAAAAAAAGTGGGGTAAATGGTATGTGAGGGTATATACCTTCAAATTCGCGTTCGATTTCTTCCAACATTTTGTTTCTCTTTGCAGCTGTAATAAAGAGATCAAAGAAACATAGTCTCAGGATACCGTAATAAAAAAAAAGAGTTGAAAAACCGCAGAAAAAGAAAGATATTTACAGTGTTCATCATCAGCATTGCCTTCAGTGAAATCATTTAGTTGTTTAAGATCTTTTGTTGCAGCTGCAAATAGAAGACAATAAAGACATTCTTAAAACACTATTCTCCATGTTTGGTTTTCTATAGCATTTGATATAAAAGATAACCTTCAAATTCACGTTCAATCTCTTCCAGCATACTTTGCCTCTTTGCAGCTGTAACAAATACATTCAAAACCTGATTCAGATAACCGCAGAGTAAGAATAGCGGATAAGAAGAAGAAGAGTGTTTTACATTGTTCTGTGTCTTCAGTAGAATCATCAACTTGAAGTAGCTTAAGGCTCTCTGTAGCAGCTGAATGTGATAAATGAAGACACAAGACTCTCAGATATTACTCAGAGTTGGTATGTGAACTAATTAAGACTCTCAGTAAGTGTTATGTAGGAGAGATACCTTCGAACTCTCGTTCGATCTCTTCTA